TTTTAATAAATTCACATCTTTGTTTCTAAGGTGTGTTTCTTGTAGACAGCATATTGATGGATCCTGTTTTCTTAACCATTCTGCCACTCTCCGTCTCTTTATGGGTGCATTGAGTGGATTATGGATAATTTTTATATTCTTTTTTATTTAATAACGTTCAATAAACATTGTGCACGTACTCTATGATAAGGAGCCCTGGATGGCGCAAGCGTTAAGTACTTGGCTGCTAACTGAAGGGTCTTTGGTTTGAATCCACTCAGCGGCTCCATAGGAGAAAGACCTGGGGATCTCCACCCCTAAAGATTACAGACTAGAAAACCCTATGGGGCAGTTCTACTCTGTCATATTGGGTGGCTATGAGCCAAAAGGAAACACTGGTCATGCAGTGGTTAAGTGCTACAACTGCAACCCAAAAGGTCTGCAGTTCAAATCCACCAGGCGCTCCTTGGAAACTCTATGGGGCAGTTCTATTCTATCCTATAGGGTCTCTATGAGTCGGAATCGACCCTATGGCAATGGGATTTTTATGAGTCAAAAATCACCTTGACAGCACCTAATATCAACAACAACTCTGTGATAAGGACTATGCTAGGAACCTGTCATACAGTGGTTAATAAGATAGATTTGGTCCATGTCCTCAAAAAATTCACAGCCTGGGATTTGTGCTTTTCTCTTTTTTATACAATTTCCACAATTATCATGTTACTTTTATAATCAGAAAAGAATGCCTATAAGCAGCTTTGTATGCATTATCTCATTTATTTCTCATAACAACTGGATGAGGTAGGTATTACTATCATTTCTCTTTTTCTTATGGGGGAACTGAGTCTTAGTGAAGCTAAGTGGCTTGCCCAAGGTCACATTTGTGGTGAGTGCAGGACCAAGACTCAAACCCAGGTGGATGGACTTCAGAGCGCATACTCATAGTCATAATGCTATATCGCACAGTATGAGCTCAACTTTTTAAGTAATTCAAAAATATTTACTGAGCATCTACTATGTGTTGGGCACTGTTTACCTGCTCAGGCTATAGCAGTGAACAAGACAAATGTTTTATCTGGACAGTTAGGCCATGTATGATTATTGCATTTTTAGTCTACTTTTTTACATCTCCCATATTCTACAAGAAACATATTGTTTTTATAATTTTAAAAGGTTTCTACATTATCGATTTAATATTATATAGATAATTAATAATCTTATCTATTAATCCAAAGGAATAATTAGGCTAAATAGATAGAAGCATGCAACACTGCTGTCCAAAATCATTCAAAATTTTAAGTTGGATTAATTATGATTATCAGCTTTGAATCATTTTAAAAGCATGCTTGAATGAATGATATGTGAATGAATATAAATGAGACAATAGATACCTAAAACATTTAAGTGATTTTTCTAAAACTAATAGTA